GACTCTGGGACCACCGACTCAGGAACTGGGACTGGAATCACCAACTCAGGAACTGAGACCGAGACCACCAACTCAGGAACTGGGACCACCAACTCAGGAAACTCAGGAACAGACTCAGATGACCCAGCTGACTCAGATGACCCAGCTGACTCAGATGACCCAGATGACTCAGATGACTCAGAAGCCAAAACAGCCGGCTCAGGCAGCAGCTAACTCAGGAAACTCAGGAACAGACTCAGATGACCCAGCTGACTCAGATGACCCAGCTGACTCAGATGACCCAGATGACCCAGATGACTCAGAAGCCAAAACAGCCGGCTCAGGCAGCAGCTGGCCCAGGAAACACAGAAGGGGTGGGAGGGTGGGCGTTCAGACGCTCAGCCAGGACTCGCTGACCCTCCGGTGGCCAGGCAGGAGCAGCAGATCGGGATGCCTTGCCATGACGTCCTCGATCTGCTGGCAGAGGAGTTGTTTTGCCGCAGGGGTGAAGGACCACCGGAGGATCMTCAGCAAACCGGCGATCTGATGGCTTGTCACCTCGTCCTCCCACCGCAGCAGAGATGGGACTGGTTCCTCCAAAGCAGGAGGCGCAGAACCAGTCGAGTGAGGTCCGGGCCAAGAAAAAAAATGATCTGCCTTGAAGAGAGTCAGACCAGAAAAAGGTTGCCTGCAGGCTGGGTACTGTGGTCCGTTCATTCTGTGAGGTTTCAGGATGAAGAGACCCAGGGCGCAGGCAGGCTCAAAAAAGGTAACAAAAGATTTTTTTAAGGAACAGAAAGAGAGCTGACGGGATAGCAAAAAGTTCAATTAAGAGACACACGAGGAACAGGTGAGCAAGGGCGGGGCTAGAGGAGTGACAGCAGGGGAAAGATACACAGGGGAACACAGAAAACACTGGAAAAGAGAAAAYAAATACAGATTATGACATCCAGGCCCTTATTCTCAGTTTTTTTCAGAGTTCTCAGATTTTCTGACTGATTTATTATTAAAAACTGATAAAATTATAATAATGGGAGATTTTAACATTCATGTTGATAGTGAAAGTGATTCTTTATTATCTGGGCTCCAAAAACCTCTTTAAGAAGTCTTCAGTTNGACTGTGTAACTTTACAAACAGCAGCCGTATGAAGATTATTTTTGATTGAATTTATTGATTTGAGAAAATGGGGCAGATATAACAAGATTTTTTCTTCGTCTGCTACCTTTCTTTTATGATTTTTGTTGTTGAATTTATGTTGTTGTTTTAAAGAAGTGAATAAACTGAACCAAAGTCCAAACGGACCTTCAGAACCCGGTGCTTGGCCTTCTCGATGGCAGCAGCAGCGTTGTCTGGGTTCTCCTCCACAGCTCTGTGCAGCAGCAGCTCGAAGGTGTGCGCTGCGTTTTCTATCAGCTGAAARACACCAAGGATCAGAACCAGGACTGGGGTGTGAGAGCTGAGGTCCAGCGGGTGGTTCTGGTACCTGCTGCAGGTCGATCTGAGCRCTGTGGATCACGCCACTGGTGTTGGAGAAGCTGAAGGGGTCCTGCAGGTGCTGGAGCCGGTCCTGCAGGGAGCTGATCTTCTGGTAGCTGCTCAGCAGGTTGGGCCTCGCCATCTCCACCAGAACCTGAGACACCAGAACCTCTTCARTCAACACTTCCACTGCTTCTAAAGGAAAGTTCTGGTCCTGCTCCGGTAAAAGCTGGTACCAGGTTCAGGTCTGAACGGACCTCCTTCAGCTGCTCGCTGACTCCGGACTGCAGGACCTCCTGACACGCCTCGTTCATCTTGGTCTCGCTCAGCTGCCGTCCCTCCAGGAACCCAGAGCTGATCGGTTCCATCATCTCCTCCAGAACCGGGCCCAGGTACGGCTGAACGGACTCGGAGCAGAACCTTTCTGCAGGTTCTGAAACYTTTGCTGGAAAACAAACAGACCGATCAGAACCGAGCCTCAGACTCAGACGGGCTCCTGCTGATCAGAACCGGTACCTCGGATCTTGTCCTTCAGCTGCCGCCTCATGTTCAGGATCGGGCCCATGTCGGAGTGGATCAGAACCTCCTGCTGCCGGACCGAGGTCCTGCACTCATCCTTCAGTTCTGACAGCCGCTTCAAAAGATGCTCCTGGACCAGAATGTAGGCCTCCTCCACCGTCTGACAACCAGAACCAGAACCAGGTCTTTAAACCAGAACCAGAACCAGAACCAGGTGAGGTCCAGCAACATACAACCTTAAACCACATCAAACTCCAGACCAAAGTTTCCTCTCAGATGGTCAATGTGCTGAAAGTTTAAAAACTGAAGATGAAGATGAAGATGAAGGTGAAGATGAAGATAAAGATGAAGATGAAGATGAAGATGAGGATGAAGATGAGGATGAAGATGAGAATAAAGATGAAGATGAAGGTGAGGATGAAGATGAGGATGAGGATGAAGATGACAGAACCAGGAGATATTTGTTTTGTTCCTGAGCTTTAGACTTGTAGAATAAGTCGTGTGTTGTGTTGTTAAGTAGTGTTGTGTTGTGTTGTGTTGTGTGAGGTGACTCACAGCGAACCAGACCCTCTTCCTGTCAGTCTTCTTGGCCTTCAGTCGAGGCAGCAGGTCTCTCTGCAGCGCTGGCAGCAGCTGCTCCATCACCAGGTTGGCCATGACCTGAACACAGACARGATCAGGCTGCAGCTTCTCTGCTCTCCTCTTTAACACTTTCAAACTTTCATTTCTTTACTCCAGCTCTGGAACAGAGACATTTCACACATGATGGTCAACAAGCTACCTACAGCAGGTAAGATACTGACCATATRTTTCCATATAATCCCACACAGGAAGTCTGAGAAACCTTTGATCCTCAGTTTGTTTCTGTTTTTAATAAATCAAGTTTTTATTGTCTGAATGAGAAACTCAACCAGCAGCAGCAGCTACAGCAGCAGCAGCAGCAGCAGCAGCTACAGCAGCTACAGCAGCAGCAGCAGCTACAGCAGC